TGTGTGTGTGTGTGTGTGTGTGTGTGTGTGTGTGTGTGTGTGTGTGCGTGCTGAGAAGTCACTCTTACATACAGATTTAGGGCTTGACCAGGAGAAAGGTGCCCCCACACACCCTGCTCCCAGGGACGTGTTTGCTGTGCCCGTGGGGCCCTAAGAGGGGGTGGGAGAGACTCTCTGAGAGGATGAAGCAGACTTTCTCCTCTGCTCGTGGTGTGGAGCTGAGGGGTTAGGGCACGGCATCACTGCAAAGCGAGCTCTTGTGCGGCTGTCCCCGGGGTTCTGGCGTGGTCTCGGCAAGCCTTGGAATCAGAGAGGCGGCAGGAGCAGCAGGCAGGAGCCCAGACAGGGCCGGGGAGAAGGAGACGGAGCCCCCAGGACCCAGGAGCCAATCTCTACAGGCTCAGGAGACGGGGAGTTAGGAGAGAAACAGGCTCTCAGTTTGTCAGAGTGTGCAGGAGTGGCCCTGTCCAAATGCTCCGTGGCTTAGGGCAGGCATTCAGAGTCACAGGGGAAAGAAGTGGCCAGCGACGGCTGTCCATCCTTCGTGGAGGAGTGAGCGCAAGGGCTGAAGAGACTGAGCATGTGCCCCTGGAGAGGACCCGGAGGGAGGCAGGGGACAGTGTGGGAGTGGCATGAGGATGCTCTGAGGACCGCCGAGGAACTAGCGAAAGGGAGAGCAAGACTGTGGGAGAGCAGAGGGAAAAGGGAGGTTGTCCTGCCTCGGTGAGTCGGTGAGGCTGTACTGACAGCCACCCAGAGCCAGGTGTGGCATTGGACACACGGCAGTGTCTGAGGCTACCATGGGCATCCGAGCATCTTGAGGAGAGGCCACTGGTCCTCTGGGAGTGGATGGCAAAGAGGACTCAGAGAGGAAGAGACAGAGGGAGATGTATTCCCCTGCTGAGAGCATCCACGTGAGGGAGCTGGGAGGAGGGCGGAGGGTCTGGAGAAGTACCTAGGATAGACAGCGCCTGCGCATGTGGACAAGCACAAATCAAGGAGCATGCGGTGCCATGCACCAGTGACACAGAGTCCAGCCACTCTGGATACAGCAATAGCTGGTCTGTTTTCTCCCAGAGTCTGAGCTCCCGCAGAATATGGCCCAGGGCTTTGGGACCTGTGTCTTCAGCGTTGTTCCAGTGGGTGATCACTTGTTGGATGAGTAGATGCGTAAATGATGGATGATGGGTGGGTGGTGGGTGGATGGATGAATGGTCCATATATCAAAACACTCACGGTTGGGCTCTGGCAAGGATTGATTGGAGCAGGGAGGGGGCCGCTGAGATCCCCCTTGGAAGAGGATTTGACAAGAAGGGGAGACAGATGGGTGGTGGGTGGTAGGAGTAAATGGAGTCAGAGATGACTCGGGCTCGAAGCTGTGAAGTCCCAGGTGGTGGTGACGCTCCTCGCTAATGAGAACTGGGTGGGAAACAAGAAACGGGTCCAGGGCGATAGGAAGGATGTGCCGCTTGGAGTGTTGGCACCAACCCCCATGACCCCATAGGTGGCAGGACAGGGACAGAAGCATCAGGGTCTGGGGTACAGGGACACAGAACTTTGTGGACTCATCCAGAAGGCCAGTGAATGTGGAAGAGGGAAAGATCCATGATAGGCATCCAGAGCCTGAGATGTGCGGCTGTGTAAAGTACTTAGGAAAGGAGAGAGAGGCTGGACAGACAGATAGATGGCCACAAGCTTGGTGCTCCAGAGGGTCACCCAGGCAGATAGACGAGGAGTCCCTGAGGGCAGAGGCAGAGCCCATTCATGACCAATGTGTGTTAATGTGTGTTCACACACACAGCAAGCAAGACCTGGAAAAGGTGGAAAACCTCGTAAGCAGGAGAAGCTGAGGGGTGGCGGCTGTGAGTGCACGTACCCTCCCCCACACACAGGGAGAGAGGATGACCCAGACTCAGAGAGCAACCGAGTCACACTTCTTAGGAGAGTAGAAGAGAACAGGGCTGAGTGAGGGAGCAGAGAAGTTCAGTGATGTGTGAATTAAGAAGCCAAAGCGTTAATGAGAGAAGGAGGAGCCCTCAGAGAGAGCACGCAGGTAGGTAGAGATGCAAACATACCACACACACACACACACACACACACACACACACACACACACACACACACAGGCTAGGGCCAGGTTCAAAGGTGATGGGGAAAGATGAGGAACAGACTGAGGAAAAGAAGGAAAGAGGAGAGCCGAGAGTCAGGCGAACACATGGGCTTGGGGGCTTCCAGAACCTAAGAAATGGAACCAGGGGAGGCATGGCCCTTGTTTCCAATGGCGAAAATGCAAGAGGCACCCGTATGTCCCCACAGGAAGAGAGCTGGAGCCCATATTCTTCTCCTATATAGTCCCATGCAACAGGAGAAAATATTTGGGTACCACTAGAGAAGGAGGGCCCCTGAAAGAGCTTTTCAGAACAAAAGCCTAGAAGGGAATAGTTTATACAGCCTGAGGCAATTCCTTTTTAAAAATAAAATAAGAGACTGGAAAGATGGCCCAGGGGTTAAGAGCACTTAACTGTTCATTTGGAGGACCTGGGTTCGATTCTCAGCCCTCACATTGGCCACTCACAACCATCTGTAACTCCAGTTCTCCGGCATCTGAAGCCTTCTTCTGACTTCCATGGCATCAGGCACTCGTGTGCTTCACAAAGATACATGCAGGCAAAACACTCATACACATAAAAGAAAAACAAATTTTTAAACTTAGAAATTAACAAAAATAAAACAAGTTCTGACAAGACTACAATATTGCATCTCCTGTTCTCTGACGAGGTGTATAGTTGCTCATTGATTGTTTTTATATTTATCTTTTTTTCTTGTGATCCAACTAAATTCATTTAATAGCATTAGAAGATTTTTTTCCCTCTAGACTCTCTAGAAGTTTCTCTGTGTGTATAATAATGTCACTTTCTAATAGAGACAGCTTCAGTTTATCTTTTCCAGTTTTTACACTCATTTATTTCTTTTTCCTGCCTTATTGAATGGACTCAGGTGTCCAGTGTGGTATTCAATAGGAGCAGCGAAAGACGCCATGTCTTCATTGCTGATTTCAGGAGGAAAGCAGCTTTTCCCCATTGGGTATGATTGGACTGTTTTATAGTAATATGTTCATGTTACTTTTTTGTTGGTTTGGTTTGGTTTGGTTTTTGTTGTTTTGGTTTGGATTTTTGGTGGTAGTAGGGATTGACCCCTAGTTCTTACACACATAGGTCATTGTGTGTGGTGACTTTTCTGTCACTGATATGGTAGTTTCCCACTGGGAAAGAGGACTGGATGTTGTAGTAGGGGGTATGGAACAGCAGAGAGATCAACCTTGTCTGTGACTTGGGGAGCTGATGTATTCATATATCATTGGTGAGACTGAGAAGGATTTTTTTTTTTTTTTTTTTTTTTTTGCAAAGAAAATTATACCCAAGGTACACCTGGCGGGATGAGACGGGAATCCTACTGTGGGCAGTCATTGAAAATGACAGCATCCCTTCTCCTTGACAGAGAAGATTGGGGAAGTGAAAAGAGGACATGGTAGGTAACTGTGGGTCCAGCATGGGGCTCGTGGGAGTTGGTGGAGGGGTCTGCATGAGCACTGTGGTGGTTGGGAGGAGGGGGAACGCTAAATGCCCTTCCTACCCCACCCACTGTCCCCAGGAGGGAGATGAGCCAAGATGGAGAACTCATCCATGAGTGAGAAAGACATAAGCAAGATGCCAGACAAGAGGAGCCAGGAGAGAGGTAGAGGGTAGCGTAGGCCAAGGGACAGTACGGGCCATGGAGATGGGGTGATATAGAGGGAGGAACCGGAGAGGGACGCCAGAGGAAGGTTCGGTAGGTCATTGGAGTTCAGTGAGGGTTAGACGCGTAGACAGAGGAGGATCTAGATTCTTGGTTGATCCTGTCTGGGTGAATCTGTGATGTCACTGGGCATCATATGGGGTGGTAGGAGGGGCAGCGGGAGAGACTGCAGACCTTTGTGAAGGGCTTCCTGCAGGGCCAGGGGCCTCTGAATGCCCAGGATGAACAGCAGATATAGAAGAAAACATGAAAGGAGGAGGGATGAGAAAACGGCCCAGGGCCTGGAGTCGGGGGCTCAGTGGGTAAAGAATTTGCATGCTGAGGTCCTGAGTTTCAGTCCCCAGAATCCGCGTTAAAAACAGAACAAGCAATCCGACAAGGTAGCACAAGCCAGCAATCCTGCCCCGAGGAGGCAGAGACAGGCAGAAGGTGATTGACGCCTGAAATTGTCCTCTGGCCTCCACAAGCACAAACAGACACATGTGTTTACACACAAACACATACCACATAAAAACAAAAGGGAAAGGAAGGAGGGAAGAAAGGAGGAAGGAGAAAAAGAAGAAAGAAAAAGCGACCGTGGCCAAGAAGATGACTATCACTCCCTCCCCCCTTGCCACACAGTGTGATGCCTCATTTTGAAGCACGGTGACAATGGCCCCGTTTTCCCCGGGACACTGGACTTCTGCAAGGTGTGGCTTGAGCCTTAGAAGCTGTGTCCTCAGAAGAAGACTGGTGAACGCTCAGTGCAGATTTGTTGGACAGGTGGCAGGCGGGCGGGAGGGAGGGAGGGAGGGATGGAGGGATGGATGGATGGATGGAGGGAGGGATGGATGGAGGGATGTAGGGAGGGAGGGGTCAATGGATGGATGGATAGAGGGAGGGTTGGATGCAGTGGTCTGGACTTGGACTGTCTGGGCTTGGGATGAGTCGAGGCTGAGGAGACAGTGGGATGGGGACTGAGCAGCTTTCTGAGGAAGGAGAACAGATGGGCTGTGGGTGACGGGAATGACAGCTCAGAGATGACTTGGGGCTCCTGGCTCTGGACCCAGGCAGGCAATGACACTCAGCGCTAATGAGAGTGGGGAAAGAAACACATCACAGTGCGGAAATGATGTGATGCGGTGAACTTGTCATCTGCCGAAGGGAGGGCGAGGGGGCTTGTGGTACCAAAGCCAGATGGGGATGGGCTTTGAGTTTCCCACTCAGGAGCAAGAAGATCTGGCCTGCAGCATTGCCGGCATCAAGGATGGGATGTGGGGACGGAGAAGGAGAGACATGTAGTGAGGTCCCAAGTCATGAAAGCAGGTGAGAAGGGAGAGGAGGGAGGAGCCGTGGACAACACACTTGTGCACATGCGCACAGATACACAGGACTGGCCAGGTCCTGACACAAAGCAAGTGTTTAACCAACTTCTGTGGATTAACCGAGAAATAGATGGGCAAAGTATGAATGATGGGGACCAGAGACTGGGAGCCCCCAGCCCAAGCAACAGTGGAAAGGAAGTGAGAGACCCACAGTTGTGTAAAGAAAGATGAGAAAAAGCAGAACGGGAGAGTCCCGTGTGAAAGAGAGAGACTAGCTTTGGAACAAGATAGAGGCAGTGGCTGGGAGGGAGGGAAGTGGGGAACTCTGACCCGAGGGACTGCACGCTTGTTTCCCACTGATTGACACAGGGTTTAGTTAGATGGTGGGTGGGTGGATGGAGGAGCGGGTGGAGAGAAGACAACAGACAATGTGTGGATATGGCCGCATGAATGGTAGATATATGGTGGATGGGTTAGTTACAGGTGGATGAGTATATTTATAGATGGATAGATCGGAGGATAGATGAATTAGGGGATGGAATAATCTAGAAATGAGGACAAAATCTGACAAGAAGCTAGTATGGGGCAACGCCTGTAATCCTAGTACTTGGGAGACTGAGGCCGGAAGAGCAGGCATTCAAAGCCATCCTTAGCTACATAGTGAGTGTGAGGCCAGCCTGAGCTAATGAGACCTTGTCTCAAAAAACCAAAGCAAGCTGGGCAGAGGTGGTGAATGCCTTTGATCCCAGCACTCAGGAGGCAGAGATAGGCAGATCTTTGTGAGTTTGAGGCCAGCCTGGTCTACAGAGCAAGATCCAGGACAGCCAAGGCTACACAGAGAGGCCCTGTCTCAAACAAACAAAACAAAACAAAACAAAAAAGCCAATGCAAAATAAAAATTCTTATAGAAGCCTGAAATAGAAAATACTCTTGCATGACACTCTTATACATCATAAACCAAACCATCTAGTATAACAAAATATTTCTTTTTTCTTTTTTCTTTTTCTTTCTTTCTTTCTTTCTTTTTTTTTTGTTTGTTTGTTTGTTTGTTTTTTTGTTTTTTCGAGACAGGGTTTCTCTGTGTAGCTTTGTGCCTTTTCCTGGAACTCACTTGGTAGTCCAGGCTGGCCTCGAACTCACAGAGATCCTCCTGGCTCTGCCTCCCGAGTGCTGGGATTAAAGACGTGCACCACCACCGCCTGGCAACAAAATATTTCAAAGTGAAATAATGGTATAAAGCAACAGATGAATGAATGAATGAATGACAGAATTAGACCAAAATGCAAGGAAAGAAAAAGGAAAAGGCGCGTGCACCAAGGTGAGAGAGACAAGCACAGGTGGGTATACCTGGGCACACATGTGCCTTCACACACTCATACACTCCTCAAGAGAGGGCCAGACCCAAGAGGCCTCAGCCAAGGTGGGGTATGCACAAAGGGGAGTTGGCCGACCAGAGAGAAGGAAGGCGCCCCTGTGTTGAGTGGCAGGAGAAAAGAAGCCCCATGGACTTCTGGGAAGTCTTGTGACCTGACAGAGTTGCAAGAGCTAAGTCCCAAGGCAGTTTGGGGGTGGCGAACAGGCTGGTGGGGCCACGACTCCGTGAATGGAAGGAAGATAGACATGGACGTGGAGAGGGGTGTAAGCCAGGTCACCTCAGGTTTTGTAGGGAATGCCCCCAAATTTGGACTTTACAAGCATTGGTCACATGATCTGATTGGTGAGACCCCTCTGGTTCTGGGTGGGAAATAGACTGGCAGCTGAAGTCGAAACAGAGAACGGGAAAGGAGGCTGGGCTGGTGTCCCCAAGAAACGGCGGAGCTTGTGTGAGGAGGGGGCGGCTGAGGAGAAGACATGGGTGTATCTGGGCTGCTTTGGGATCCTAGATGAGTGAACTCCAGTAGCTAAAACATAGGCACGAATCATGAAGGATCATAGGACTCCAGGAAGACGGGAGGACGTTGGCGTCCTGTCATTTCACTGATACGTTGATGGGGACAAATAAAAAAGGGGCTGATTGTAGGGGAGGGGATGAGTTCATCTTTGGACATGGTGACTCTGAGATCTCTATGATCACCAAAGCAGAGAAATGGATGGGAACAGGGTGTGGCATTCAGGGACAGGTTCACCAGCAAACAGGAGAGTGCCATATTCATGAATGGGTGATCTCCTAAGGCAGTGGTTCTCATCCTGTGGGTCTTGACACTTTGGGGAGTTACATATCAGATATTTACATTGCGATTCATAACAGTGGCAAAATTGCAGTTATAAAGTAGCAGCAAAACAATTTTATGGTTGGGGGTCACCATAATGTGAAGAACTGTAATAAAGAGTCACAGTGTTTGCCGGGTGGTAGCGGCGGCGGCGGCGGCGGCGGCGGCGGCGGCGGCG